CCCCCGACAAAAAAAAAGGTTAGGGGAGTGTTGTAGTGGAGTCTGCCGTGGCCGTTGAGTGGAGCGGACGTGTCTCTAAGCAGCTCCGCTGTATGGATATTAAAAGTGTAGGAAATACAGTGTCTGGTGGCTAAAAGTGAGAAGAAATGGAATCAGCGTGCTCCCCGCTACATGAACCTGGTGAAATTTTCACATTTTTCTTGATTTTGAGTTATTATCTATTAAACAAGATAACTGTTTTAAGATGCAAGGTTATGTTAACTTATGGACTTCTGATTTGTAGTAGACACATTTTTCGGGTCTTATTTTTGAGTGACAGCCTCATTGTGGCTGATCTTGTTTAATTTTGTGTCATCTATTTGCATATGTGTACTTTAACAATACATATTTGCAGTAAATGTGCTGTAGACGGATAACTCCAGCGCATGCGCACGCGAGTGTACTGAGACGGCTGGCATAGATTTCAGCATAATTAGCATAATATTTGATAAAATGCTGTTACCTAATGAAATGATATGAGTGGAGGGCTATGGGTTACCATAGATACCCATCTGGTTACTGTATAAGCCTAGGGTGATATAGTTTGCGTCGACTACTTTAACCCTTCCGTGCCGGTTGACCACCGTATATTTTCAAAGCCTTGGCGTAATTAACAATTAATTAACAATTAAATGCAGTGGCTGAACAATTGTTGATAGACACTCAATAGGTATGTTGTGTTTTGGTGTGATACAGTATATGCGGTTTACTATATAGCTGTTGCACAGTGATAGTGATATTGCGGTCTGTATTTCTATTACATATTAACTGCAATAATATTTAGGGTTTAATCTGAGATCTAAGGGTGCTAAGGTTGCTTTTAAGCAACTATAAATATGTACTTATGCAAGTCCTTGTTAATTTATATAAGATTAAACAATATATGGGCTACAGGGATTTGTAGGTTAGGTATGTATTATTTTACACTGAGATTACTACTTCTTGCAAGGTCTATAATAATATTATGCACATTTTATGGGAGGGTAATCCTCAATGCAATCTAGTGATTTTTGATATGGTGGTCATGCTGACCAATCTAGTTCTATGATGTCTATGGCTATGTATGAGTTGCGAGTCTAGCATCTATGACAGCGTGGTTACATGACGTTTACGTTACATGACATTTATTATTGCTGATTGTGATTTATTTGAGTGGATGGTCAGAATGATTTAAGCCGTGGAAGCACAGATTGATTAATAATTGTCTGATTGATTGGATATTTAATTATGTTACCTATAATTGTGGTTATTGGTTTCAGGGGAATATGGATATAAATAATGTGTTGGCATCTGGCAGTGATTATTACTTAATCATGGTGATCGATCGTTAATTAGTACTTATTGATTGATTGATTTAATGTATTGATATTGTTGATAGTGATTTATAATAGACATGTTTATACCATTTAAGGGTTTTTCGGATGTCACGAATCATAGAGAGTTTCTTTATGCAACGTTTACGGAAGGCCTCCCTTTAATACTTCACTGGTGAATGAATATTGTTCATACTACTGTTTGCAGATAAGATAAAGTTTTTGAAAAAAACTGAAGTACGACGGAGTAATCACAGGGAGATCTCCCTGTGCAACGTACGGAGCATTACAGGTTGCAATTTTAGATATGGAAGACCTGGACTACATGTATATATGAATGTTGGTCTATGGATATCTCGTAGCAGTTGTCGAGGAATAGGTAAAGTAATAATTGTGTCTGTGTGATGGAGGAAATTAAATCTAGAATAATTATTATATTGAATCATATATATGGATAAAAGAAAGAAAGGAATAAATAAATGGATTTCGACATATATTTAAATTTAAGCTGAAATGTGAATTTATATATATAAGTTAATATACAATTGAGTGATTCAGCATAGTTATTAAGCAACTAAGTGAATTCATAAGAATATGTATAATATACAGTCAGATATCTAATGCTGTAATGAGATATAGGTTGGAATAAATATAAAGATTTAATAAATAGAAAATACAGATACACATACGTGTATATATATATTTAAAGATACAAATTATTATTATTATAAACCATGTATTATAAATTTAATTAATCAATGGTGTTGGATCAGGACTATAATGTAAATAGATAAATAGAAATAGATAAACAATTTAGATATTAGAGGATATATAAATGTTGTATGAGTAAGTGAATGTCTGACAAGCTCTGAACACTATATTATGGATTATTAATAATGAATAACTAAAAATGGAATAAATTGTAATAAATTCTATGATCTGAATGAACGATTATTCTGGATTCGATAAAGGCTGGTTATGGTAATGAATGAATGTGTATACCGTGGCGTGTGGAAAGGAGAATATTACGAGGGAATGATTAAAAGTGAGTCTGGTGGATATAGATAGAAGAATACATCTAGAATACTATTACTGCTGTATTTTATTAATAATAATAAACTTATGTGAAGTGTCGCTCATATGGAGATGTGGTATTATTCCTCCCGGTGATGACTATGCTATCTGAAATGAGGAAATATTTGGATTAACTTTCATATACGGTACAATTAGTACAAAACATACGGTAGTGTTATAGTGCTGCATAGATGGGATCAAATAGAAAAGCTAAGTCAATTGAACAGATGAACAATTTAATTAGAACAACTATAGTCTGATACTGATTCGCTACTGATACAATAATGCAACAAGATATATACACGTACATATGCTGAGTGAATGTGGTTCCTTACATTGACAGTTATTGTGTTGTGAATTAACCCTCAATTGTTGTGTCTGTGGAAGTATTGAATTTTCTAGATCCTGAGATGTTCTTGTATATATCTGTGTAAGATGATTGCCACTGGAGGATGAATGACGGATACTTGCTGACTAGGTTACGATTTAATCCACTAGTAGTGATATAATTCAATAAGGATTTTCACAAGATTTGCAATTCTTTATTAAGAAACTTTAGAGTTGGTTTACATATACGATCAATAGTACTGAATAAATAAACAATGGATATAGGAGTATTTATTGTTTGTCCTCATTTACCTGTCGTCTGATGAATCGGCCGGAGTTCCTGAAACAGATAAAGGTACGATTAATAATAAGAACTCAATGTATATATATATATATATTGTAAGACGCAAGCGATAATGACCGATAGACGGCGCCAGCTGACGGCAGCCAGATATTCGAGGGCAGCGCCTTGGATAAAATAGATCCTGCGCGCACGCACTCCCGCTCCTTGATTTATTGTATTTTAAATAATAACGTGTAAAAGATTCGAGAATCTTCGAGGAAGTCGACCTGCGAGAGAGCCGGAGATCGAATCTCACTCTCTATCGCCGATCAACCGAGAACAATCGCAGAAAACGATAAAATATAGAGAGACAGTCGTGTCGGTAGAATAGGCATTTTTGGACTTAGTCGAAATCGCAGTATTGTACTAATAAGTGAAATTATATATATTGTTAATATCAAGTAGTTTCTGTGTCGAGTCATTTCAAGAACCATCTTGCAATTTATCCATTTCAACCGAACTATAGCTTTAACGAACTTAATAAATAATAAGGTCGCGTATAGGACGTAACCGTCGAATACATTCAAACAAATTCAGAACAGTCGGATTATTTCTTTATTAAGAAAGTCAGAATCTTACAACTCAGAAGTGGGATTACGGGCTCATTTAACCCGTGTCGAAAATTTATAGAAAAAAAAAAAAGTCGAACATTGCCGTGTCGTGCCGAGAATAAAAAGGGCTTTTCAAGCCGCGAAGTGTCGAAGTCGATAAAATCGCTGCCGTGTCGAGTCGGAAAGACTCTTCGAGTCTAGAAAAAAATAAAGACGATTTTAAAGACATTGTCGAGTCGTAACAAACTATCATAATGCCGAAGACAAGATCTATGCTCGATCAAGAAGATCTAGAGCAAGCTTCTTTAGAAGTAATTTAAAGGGAGGCTCGGCGGTATCAAATACCGGTAATTCAAGACCGAGACCTCCTCATTGAGCATATTCTCACCCACCTTGAGAGGGTTGGGCCGTCGGAAAGGACGTTGGATGAGCAACAGGCAGTTGGAGAAGTCCACGTCCTAGCTGCATCGTCAGCAAGGCGTACGATCGTGGCGGAGCCGCTTACGTCGGAGATGTTCCGTCAGGCGATGTCGGACATCTCCACGTCGATCCTGAAGCAACAGCAGGAGCTTCAGCAGCAGAACCAGCAGTTCATGATGCAAATACTGCAGCAGCTGGCGCCGAGGGCGGGAAACGTCCAGGTGGTCCAGTCAGTCGGAGAGGCAAACCCAGGTAGCCCTGAATCATTAAGCCGCAATGAAGGTAATGTGTCGAACAATCTTAATTCAGCGATTAACGGACAAATGAATATTAGTGCGCATACGTTACCGGCGGGAAATGCAGTCAGTTGGTTGGCCCCTCAAATACCTGAATTTAGTGGCGGTGAGGACGAAAACGTTGCCGTGTGGTCGAGACGGGTCGACCAAGTTGCCGTCATTCACGGCGCGTCGGACGGGATTACATTGCTGGCCGCGTCCAGTAAATTGACGAAGTTCGCACGGCAATGGTATGAAATCCAAACGGGAGATGTGATAGGGTCTTGGCTAGCCCTAAAAAATGATTTAAATAAGATGTTCGATAAAAAAGTGCCGTACTATAGAGCTATGCAGAAGGTCGAAGCGCGGAAGTGGAACGCGCATAGGGAAACGTTCGACCAGTACGCGATAGCCAAACTCGCGTTACTCAATAATTTAAATTTGCCGACAAAGGACGTAATTCATTTACTTATCGGAGGAATTACACAGAGTTCGCTGAGAGCCATAGCTCTCTCGATCGCCGGCGACTCGATTGAGGACTTTTTAGTAAAAATGCGCCGTATCGCGGAAGGTGGACTCGATACCGAAAGAAAACCCGGTTCAACTGTGAACGCGTCGAGAAACTCTAACAGTAATCTGTGCCGAAATTGTGGGAAGAAAGGGCATTCTCATAAAGAATGTCGAGGTGACGCCACCTGCTTTTATTGCAAAGCGAAGGGTCACCGTCAATTCGATTGCCTCGTGCTTAAGAGCAAGGCGACGGGAAGCCGACGCTGCAAGCACGTCACGCGACGAGCTATACAGCAGCAGCTGTTTCGTCTGCGGCATCGAGCGATGACGTCGTGGCAATCGTCGCAGAACCAGCAGACGACAGATTAGAGCTGTCCCAGCCGACGACTAAAATCACGAGCATCTGTAATCAAGAATGCGATTTAGATGCGCTAGTCGATACCGGCAGTCCGGTATCTTTCGTAAATAACAAGGTTTTTGCTAAATACATAAAGCCTAAAAACTTTGAAATTCTACCGGCGGAAAAGGAATTAATTAGTTTAAGTAAAATACCGTTGAAGGTTGAGGGGATTGTGTCGGCGGTAGTAGCGATAAAAGAGATCGAAAACAAAACATTCAAGATCCCTCTGTATATATTAAATGAGTCGTACTCGGGCGATATGATCTTAGGTTGCGACTTCTTTAACGACAACAGGCTCACTTTAATTTACAAATACGATGACGCGTCAACAAGCCGAGTCAGCTTGTTCGAGCAATTACCGCTTTGCATAGAAGATAAACAAGTACCCGACCTTCAGCGCAAATTAGAAAATAACGTTAATAATGTAGATATAAGATTTAAAGATAAGTTAATTAGCGTTTTGGTAGAATTAGAGAAAATGAATGTCGAGCCGATAGACGATAGTTATAAAGTAGAAGTGATCTTACGTGATCCTTCGATCTATGCGTTTGCGCCGCGACGCTTCGCATATGCCGAACGTCTTCAGATAAGGGAGATCACAGATGATCTTTTGCAGCGGGGAATTATCCGTCCAAGCGTCTCACCGTATTGCGCGCGGGTAATCCCTGTGAGAAAGAAAGGCGGTGACATTAGATTATGTGTCGATTTAAGGCCGCTAAACAGTAGAGTCCAGAAACAAAAATACCCGTTTCCGGGGATTGAAGATTGCTTGTCGCGTTTGTCGAACAAATCCGTTTTCACGTTGTTGAATCTGAAAGATGGGTTCCACCAGATAGAGGTGCACCCGAATTCAACGCGGTACTTCTCGTTTGCGACGCCCGACGGGCAATTCGAGTACACGCGCTTACCTTTCGGGTACTCGGAAGCGCCCGCTGAATTCCAGAAGCGCGTAATACAGATTTTGAATCCATTGATCCGCGCGGATAAAATTTTAGTCTATATCGATGATATCTTAATTCCCACGGAAACGGTAGAGCAAAATTTCGAGATTCTAAAAGAGGTACTTTACCTTTTAAAGCAATATCGTTTCGAGCTGAATTATAATAAATGTATTTTTTTGAAGAGTGAAATCGAATTTTTAGGATATGTTATTTCGGCAGACGGCATAACGTTGAGTCCGAGACACACAGAGTCTGTAAAGAGCTTTAGACAGCCAAGAAACGTGCACGAGGTGCAACGATTTCTCGGGTTGGCTAGCTACTTTAGGAAATTTATAAAAAATTTCGCGATTAAGGCGAAGCCGTTGCACAGTCTTTTAAAAAAAGATTCTGTTTTTATCTCCGATGCGGAATGCATAAGAGCATTTGAACAATTAAAAAATGAAACTTACCTCAGCGCCGGTATTAGCACTTTATAACCCGGCCCTGGACACGGAACTGCACACTGATGCAAGCAGTCTGGGCCTGGGCGCAATACTGCTACAGAAGCAAAACGACGGTAGATGGTGTCCGGTTGCGTATTTCAGTCAGGCCACAAATAGCGCTGAAACCAGATATCACAGTTTTGAGCTAGAAATGCTAGCGATCGTTAGAGCGATTGAGCGATTCCATTTGTATCTTTTCGGGCTAGATTTTATGATTGTTACCGACTGTAATGCCTTGGTGCATGCGGTAAACAAGGCTAACCTTAACCCGCGTATAGCGAGATGGACGCTCACTTTACAAAATTATCGATTTAAGGTTACGCACCGACCGGGCACACGAATGGCGCATGTAGATGCACTCAGCCGATGCGCGGCGTACGTGCACGAACTGCCGCTGGAAAGGGAGCTCGAATTCCGTCAGCTCTCAGACACTAGATTAAAAATATGCGATGAGTTAGAGATTGCCGATAGC